ATGTCTACGCATGCGCACGTAACGGGGAGACGCTGGTAGTTTCAAAATTTTTTGAAAGTATATTTCATTTTTTTTAAACTACCTGCGTCACGGATGAAACCCGTCATAAACTTTTCCAGTTTGTCCCATTTATTCACACACACACACACACACACACACACACACACACACACACACACACATATATATATATATATATATATATATATATATATATATATATATATATGATTTTATGAATACAATTTGTCACTTAGCTAATTGATGCAGTGTCCAGATTCAGGAAGTGTTCGCGGACCGAATGTTCGCTATTCGCTTTAAATCTTGTTGGATTTCAATAATCTGAACTCCGCCTTATCAGTCTGTTTATCTATGTGTTAAGTAGATTAAATGAAACAAAATTAACTGAAACCTCCTTTAGACATAGGCAAACAGACATTACACCTAACAACGCCGAAGTCGGATTTATGAAACCCAGCAGGAGGGTGTCCCGATAATTTATAAATAAATAAATTTTCTGAGCGACGGTTCGGTTCAACTCTCTGTCTACGAACGGAGAGGAACCCGAAGGAGGCTACGGGTTCAAATGGGCTATTTTTTGGCCGAGCCTAATGGCTCGGAAATGCCCACGTTAAAAAGGCCTTGTGCCACATGACACCCACGTTGGGGGGGGGACTGAATATCGTCAGTCGTTCAAGTCTTGAACGACAGATCGGTTGAATTCTCTGCCTTCGGGCGGGGAGGAACCCGAAGGAGGCTACGCCGAAAAAACCCGGCCCTGAACCCGTTGGGGGGGGGACTGAATATAGTCCCGATAATTTATAGACAACTCCTGCAAACAAGCTGACCACATTTGTATTCCTTGCGATATTATCGAAACTGCCGAGAGTTGTCAAGGTGGGCTGAGCAAGGTACGGCCGCCATATTCGACCGCACAGGCCTCTCTCCTGAAAGAGTCGCTCCAGTCTCAAGACTATGCGACTGGTTTTTGACCTGGATCCTACCTTTATCTTGCGAGCTAAACGGTCTACGATTGATGCATAAAGATTAAAACTCAGAAAGCTAACTTGTTGCTGCTGATTCTCCTATGTGCCGGGGCTGTTGGCACGTTGGCGAACGTGGCTCTTCCCAATTTCCTTTCCTTTGTAACACTTTATAAATTTCTTCTTTTATTTATCTCTTCTAAAACTTGTTCCCCTATTCATTTACGCCAGCTCGCTAGGTAGGCTAGGCGTTGTTTTCCTCGGTCACGCCAATCCGTCCTATTGGTTGGCATAAAATCTCAAATCCCAACGATCAAACGTATTCTCTACATATATATATATATATATATATATATATATATATATATATATATATATATATGAATAAAAATGACAATAGGAAAACTAGTAATTGCTGACGCGTTTCGTCCAATGTGGACATTATCAAAGCAGAATGCGAAACGAAATTACTAGTCTATCTATTGTCATTTTTATTCATAAATATTGTCTTCTCTTATGGTTAAATCGGAGAAATTTTCATATATATATATATATATATATATATATATATATATATATATATATATCAGACAAGCAGATTGAAAAAAATATATATATATATTCAATCTGCTTGTCTGAATCAACTTCAAGAAGCGAGAACAAGATCTAAAAGGTCAGCCAATCTAACAGTGATCTCATCTCATTCTTGCTCCCTATGCGGCCTCCTTTGTAAATCACTAGCGGGTCTGAAGTGCTACTTAAAATTATTGCACAGAATTTCATAACTGAATCAATTAAGCTGTCAGATTCTCATACGTTGAAACCGACGGGAGAGTCAATTATATATATATATATATATATATATATATATATATATATATCCAAAGTCGGCATCACGACTTATGCAATCTTCAAGAGATTCTGGGCGTTAAGTATCAGGTTCTCGTGATGACGATTCCGAGAACCTTATAGAAAAATATATTAACTGCATGAAGCTTCGAGTGTTCTTGACGTTGGATATTATGTATATATTCAATAAGATATACTTATAGCTCTGTTTCATATCATTGAGCACTGTATAACACCTGGTGAATAAAAAAATTTTACGTACGTGCAAGTATCTCAGCATGTATGTAGATTCCTATATATATATATATATATATATATATATATAAGAAATAGAGTTTTAAGGTGTGCTATATTTATGGGATAAAAGTGCTCAATATCATAGATAGATATATTACCTTAAAACTCTATTTTTCATATATATATATATATATATATATATATATATATATATATGCGTATATATATGAAGAAATAGAGTTTTAAGGTGTGCTATATTCATGGATAATAATATCATAGATAGAGCGTATGCAAATATAAATATAAAATGAACATTGAAGTCAACACTCAGAGGCGACAGGCTGTTTCATGCTAGACGCAATACTGAGGCCGCCCGATTACGTCTAGCATGAAACAGCCTGTCGCCTCTGAGTGTTGGCTTCAGTATTCACTTTATATATATATATATATAAAACTGTAAACTTTGACTGGAAAAGTAAATGGTTACAATAAATTTGCCACAACAACAAAAATTACTAAAATGATCAGAGATTACCTCAAAATGCAGATACGCCTGAATATTTATTAATTATAAATACATTAAAAAAACGTAATCAGTAACGGATAATTAATGAATAAATAGAAAATTCAGTAAGGCAATTAATAATAAATAAAGTGGCTGAAAATTTAATAAAATTTGAAACTTTTCCTACCCACTGATGTACTGAATGTTTTTCTAACTCTTAATATTTGTTTTTATTAAATTTTGAAATCTGTCTTTCAAGTTATAAAGCAGTGAAATGTGAGCGATTAGGCAGGAAATTCCTCACAATCTGATATCTATTTCATGAGGATCCCCTAGAGAGGAAAAAGTTGAAATGCAACCTCTTCGAGAAGACCGCTTTTCGGACACCGTAAATTGCCGACGGTGACCGCAGCGAGACGGTCGGAGCTGCACTTTGCCCAGTAAAAACGACAGAAAAATGCTTGTAGACATGGACAGAGTGAGAGATTTCACACAATTTAATACCAATTTCGAAGAGATTTCATATACTGAAGAAAAGTTAGAAAGCTGCGAAATGTTAGCGACCCCCCAGTTTTGGTCTGCATGAAAATTTCCACAAATTCACTAACACAAGGCCCCGTATCGTTGAAGGTCACTCCCTCCCTACACAAGCGACTGAAATAATTCTTTGACTCATGGATTAGGCAGGAAATTCCTCACAATCTGATATCTATATATGGCCCACTTGATAAAAGCATTGGTTAGATCCAGTGACTTGAGCCAAAGTGTTGTGAGCTCAATACCTGGCTACTGCAGTGGTGAAAAAAATTGCGTTACAGAGAGATAACTGAGACAGCCGGGCGAGGCGTGGCAAGTGGAACTAGAAAAATCTTCTCCAGTGGACAAAATAAAGGCTTCACTTCGAAATTCTAACTATGAATTAGGCCGGAGCGTACAACGTCCGAAACGTCATGAATATGGCAATAAGCATGAGGATAACCGTCCGAACAATGTAAACAATCATAATGTTCAACCGATCGTACATAAAAAAAATAACGTAAAAACAAAGGAAGTAAAAATACCCATTAAACACATCAACAAAAGCCTACCCTCCTGATATAATATAGAAATACAACAGATCACTTACAACAACTAAATCCACTGCAAATGATTTCCCCCGTAAGGCAACTGCATTTAACGCAATATAATATACCAAGCCACCGCAAAAGCAGTAATTAATAAAGAAAAATATACATAGAAGAAAAGGTCCATGGAAACATGACTCAGATAACAAAAGAAGCACAACAGAAAACTAACAAAAAAATTCACTCACACCCACCAAACCCAATGCATAATGAAAAATGACTGTCCTTGAAACGGTAATTGCATGCAAAGCAATGTAATATACCAAGCCACTGTAAAAACAACAATTAAGAAGAAAAAATTACACAGAAGTAACTAATGAACCATGGAAAAATTACACAGATAACGCAATAGAAAAATAACCAAAAGTCACCCGCAACAATCAAACCTCCTTATAACTCAGGAGTATAATATGAATGTCCATGAGGCGTGAGTTGCATGCAAAAGAATATAATATACCAAGCCACCGTAAAAACAATAATTAACGAAGGAAAATATATATAGGAGTAAATGATGGACGCTGGAAACGGAGAAACTATGCGCCTAAAATATCTTTTAACAGCAGTAAATGAACAAACAGTACAAAATACTGTAAACATATATGACGGCTGACAAATAAAGTCTAAAATCCACCAAAAATATCATAGAAAATAAGAAAAAGAACACCTGACTACAACAATTATAAAAACGGTAAACTTTGTCTGGAAAAGAAAATAGTTATAATCAACTTCACAGACCGACAAAAATTACTAAAATGATCAGAGATTATCTCAAAATGCAGACTTGAAAACAAATTTTTAATGCGATACTTCCAAATCCCAAAAAAACTAAAAACTGATATCTTGCAAAACATTACTAAAAAAAATGCACATATATGTAGAATTTATGTATTATATACAAAGCAAATGACGAAATAAACTTTTTTAAATGGGGTAAGCAAAGGAAACAAATCAGATACGCCGGAATATTTATTTATTTATTTATAAATACATAAAGGAAATAATAAAGAAATCGATAAGCTACGAATAAACGCATATCCACAGCTATAAAAATGTTATAATTGTAATCAGTAACGGATAATTAATGAATAAATAGAAAATGCAGTAAGGCAAGTAATAGTAAATAAGGTTGCTGAAAAGTTAAGTAAAAATAACTAAGACAATAGCTATAAAATAACCCGCTTGTCAGCCCATAATAAGTTCTAATCAATAGCAGTTATAATAATTTTTTAAAAAAATCGTTCATGTCTATTCAATATTTGTTAGAATAACATAATAAACAGGAAATTATCTTTCAACCTATAGAGCAATCTATCTATCTATCTATCTATCTATCTATCTATCTATCTATCTATCACATTCTTTTCGCTATCTATCTATCTATCTATCTATCTATCTATCTATCTATCAGATTCTTTTCATCTATCTATCTATCTATCTATCTATCTATCTATCTATCTGTTCTTATTTATCTCTGATCATATCTATCTATCTATCTATCTATCTATCTATCTATTATTTATCTATCCTTATTTATCTATCTATCTATCTATCTATCTATCTATCTATCTATCTTATTCTTTTTCTGTCTATGTACCTATGTACTTCTGCTAATATATTTCTAGTTCAATATATGTTTGTGCGTGTGTATATATAGGTAATTCTGTTCCTATCTATCTATCTATCTATCTATCTATCTATCTATCTCAGTCTCTTCATTATCCATCTCGTTCTTCTCAATATCAATATCAATGTGTGCATTATGAATCTCAATATGTTCATTATCTATCTATCTATCTATCTCATTCTTTTCAATATCTATCTATCTATCCATCTATCTCAGCCTCTTCATATTCTATGTATGTATGTTTCTATCTGTCTCTCTGTCTTCACTATCTATCAATGTAACTATATATATATATATATATATATATGTGTGTGTGTGTGTGTGTGTGTGTGTGTGAAATACATTGGTTAATGAAACAAGGACAAAAAATGTATCATAAAATCCGTACGATAAACATTTACAAAATAACCATATGACAGAAATGAAATAAGGAGAGAAAGGTTTCATGTTCGAAATTTTCTATCTATCTATCTATCTATCTATCTATCTTATCTATCTATCTATCTATCTCGATCTCTTCAATAGCCATCTTTATCTATCTTCTCAATATCTATCTCAATGTGTTCTATCTATCTCAATCTATCTATCTATCTATCTATCTCATTCTATCCAATGCCTGTCTGCCTATCTATCTATCTATATATCTATCTATCCCAGTCTGTTCATTATCTATCTATCTATCTATCTATCTATCTCAGTCTCTTCAATAGCCATCTTTCTCATTCTTCTCAATATCTATCTATCCCAATGTGTTCATTATCTCTCTATCCCAATGTGTTCATTATTTCTCTATCTCAATGAGTTCATTATCTATCTATCTATCTATCTATCTATCTATCTATCTATCTATCTCAATGTGATCAATATCTCACTCAATGTGCTCATTATCTATCTGTGTATCTATTCATCTCAATGTTTTCACTATCTATCTATCTATCTATCTCAATGTGTTCATTATCCATCTATCTATCTCAATGTGTTCAATATCTCACTCGATGTATTCATTATCTATCTATCTATCTATCTATCTCACTCTCTTCATTATCCATCTCGTTCTTCTCAATATCTATCTCAATGTGTTCATTATATTTGTATCTCAATGTGTTAGTTTTTGGAGTTATCATTAGTATTATGGGACCTACCTTTATGGACTAAATGGACTCGTCCTATTACTATATATACGGGGAGATTATGCCTCCCAAGAGAGCTGTCTACAGTTGACCTGTTCCAGCTAAACAGTCGAACCCTCTGCGTTCCGACGGAGAGGAACCCGGACCAGGCCACGCCGAAGGGCAGAGTCTCGTTCGAGGAGGTTGACTGCCCATGAACCCTTTTATGCGGGTTCAAAGAGGGATTATTTTTGGCCGAGCCTACGGGCTCGGAGATCCCACGTTAAACCGGCCTTGTGCCACATGTAACCCTCGTGGGGGTGCTAACTAAATATCGTTGTCTACAGTTGACCTGTTACAGCTAAACAGTGGAACTCTCTCCCCGAACGAGGCTCTGCCGAAGGGCAGAGTCTCGTTCGGGGAGGTTGACTGCCCCTGTACCCGTTTATACGGGTTCAAAGAGGGATTATTTTTGGCAGAGCCTACGGGCTCGGAAATCCCACGTTAAACCGGCCTTTTGCCACATGTAACCCTTGTGGGGGGGGCAACTAAATATCGCTGCCTACAGTTGACGAGTTGACTACTGTACTTTGCCGCAACAATTTTTGTATTTGTTCTTTTTGTTTAAAAATATGTTTTCATTAAATTGCTGAGTTAGAGTTTTCTTGAGTTTCTTAACAATTAGCAAATCGAAAATTTGGATTATATTTATTCCAAGATGATCTGTGGTTAATTTTTAACAGAACTTCCTCTTTATCTGAGCAGGATTATTAGTAACTAACAGTAGAGCCCGGCGTTGCTCGGGGATGTAACAGTAAGAGATAGATCAAGTATCGACCATCATAAAGACTGAAAAATAAAATTGACAAAGATTATTGTTTAAGGTTGACGGACACGCATGACTTAATCCGTTTTTTTTTATTTGTTTTTTTTTTTTGTTTTTTTTTACGAATTGGTCAAACCCAAACTAAAACAAAAACATTGTTTTCAATCGTTATGAGTCTATCAGTGAATAGAATTTTATTATAAACAATTGTCTTGTAAATGGAATTTTAAAGTATTCTGAATGTAAAAATAAAGAAAAAAGTGTGCAAGACAATAAGAAACACTACCTGCCAAAAAAAAAGTGAAGTTTTGTTGAAATCGGTTGAAAATTTAGGAAATCCGATCCCATATATAAACGAACACACACACACACACACGCACGCACACACACACACAGACACACACACACACAAACAAACAACCTGGGTTTTATAATAAGTATAACTCGATATGAGTTGTGCCCCTTTCGTTCTGGCGACAGAATCGTGTTTTCAAATTGATTTTGTGCAAAAACAATTGTGATTTTCCAATTTTTGGCGCTGTCAAAACCACTGCAAGGTAATTTTACGTAGTGCTCTGAAGTTTTGTTGAAATCAGTTGAAAAATGTAGGAAATCCGATCCAATATATAAACGTAGACACACACACACACAATCTGCGTTTTATAGTAAGTAAGTTTTAGAAAATGTCGATCAATAACATTAACCAGCACAAAAAATGTTTATATATATATATATATATATATATATATATATATATATATATATATTCACTAAGTACGAAAATGAATAGATAGTGTTACCAATAACAAACCCTACTAATGCAACAAAAAAAAAAATAAACAGAAAGATGCTTAACCAAAAATTCGTGCTTAAGTGTTCAATGTCTATACAAAAATCGAAATGGGAAGAAAAAAAGACAGAGCTCTAAAAATAAAAAAGTCTAGAGCCACCGTCTACTATCGTTACTCTGAGAATCACATTAATATATATATATATATATATATATATATATATATATATATATATTAATTTAAAGAAAAACATACCACTTTAAAGCTCCATTTGTTATAATTTATTTCACCAGAGAATTTTATGTTTCTCTGGATCTTCAGACGTCACTGAAAACGAAAATGAATTTAAAAATTACACTTTTGACGGGCAGTATTAAGCTTATATAATTTGACATAGAAGGTGGTGATGAATAGTGTGAGAGACATCGTCAAGTATTGAGAGGGAAGGGAGAGTTTTAAAATTTATTTTTATTACAATACTTAATATTGAGAAAGGAGGTGGTAAGGATCAGACATTGACCTATTTAATCGGTCAATTCAACGGAAATGATATGGGAAAAGGAAAAGGAGAAAAAAGAAAAAAGTAAAAATGAGGGAAGTATAGAGATAAGAAATGTACGTAGGGTTTTTGGAGGAAGAAGAGGGGTGGTATAGCTTTAGCAATTTAGATAAAAACAGATTTTAACGTTTGATAGTAATTTAAATGTTTAAAAACTCCACAAAGAAATTAAATTTAATGCTTGTTAGCAATTTAAATATTCAACTTCTCCACAAATAAATTAGGGATTTAATATGAGTCGAATATTATATTAATAAACAACAATAATAAAAAATAAAATAAAAATTTACTAATAGTAATATTTTAAGATTGTCAGTGACTGTTAATGTGAAATTTTTATCAGTTCGAGTCTAATTCATGAATGTAATTTGTAGCTATCTTTAAATGGGTAATATTTCTTAATTAAAGTTTAGGTTTCAAATCAAGATGGAGTAATTTATAAATTACTATTTGAATTACGATTTTTTCATACACACACCACGTACACGAAGAACAGAAAAAAATAGATATAGAAAGAACGGGCAAATAAGTATGTGTCAGTAAGGATCAAACTCACTCCCAATTACTAATGATCTGTATATATATATATATATATATATATATATATATATATATATGTGTGTGTGTGTGTGTGTGTGTGTGTGTGTGTGCGTGTCTGTGTGTGTCTGTGTGTATACTGACACATACTTATGACCTTGTTACAAAACTGACCTGCAAAAGCTGAGTAAATAAAAATCTGATCGATAGCGGTAATGCGCAGCTGCATGCGCATGCGTGCCTGCATTTGAAGGCACCATTTTCCTTTATTCACCCTTTGGTCAATTATTTACCCGTTCTTTCTACATCAATTTTTTTTTTTGTTCTTCGTATATTCCGATACGCCTTCCATAATTTGCTGGGGTTTTATCTGAATAGACTTTATTTGCTCTTCTAGTTTATTTATCAAAGCGTTTATTTCTGCCATTTTATTTTCGATTTCATCGTTTCAGTTTTTGACTAATTTGCTAGAACTATATTAACTGTATCGCCATTGTAGCTTGGCTCACCTTGTGAAACATTGATGCGTTTATGAGAAATGTTTATCACCTTTTTTTCTACGGCGCACTTGAACGTACAGGTAAATTTCCTGCAGTATACTTTGACCTCTCGTTAAACTTCGGCGGGAAACTTGAACTTATAGTTAAACAACCCGCGTCACAATTAGATTATAATGATCAGAAAAAGAGTAAACATTTATTAACACAAACAAACAATTTATTATAATTTGTAATAAAAAGATAATTAAAATTCTTAACCGCTCTAATTCTATATGCTCAGACATGATGTTTCCGCTGAAAAGGAAGTTCAGTTGCTTTGATAGATCGGCAACAACCTCATCTAATAACAGTATACATTGGGTGATCCTTGGGATTTTATTGCATGATGGTACAACAAAACTACACAAAAACTCAAATGTCATATTCACATTCAAATAATATTTTTGGTTCGTTGATTTTGTTTAGTGACATCCCAACCTCTAGGGGTTATTTAATGCCGAAACTTAATAATTTTGAACACAATCCGGTCTGTCTATATATTCTGACATGAGGTATTATAACTATTTACATTATTTATATTGTTCAGATTGTTGTCCTCATTTTTATTGTTATATTCACGACGTTTCAACCGTTGTACGCTCCGGCTTTCTTCAGGTGATATACATTGGAATTTGGAACTGAACACGTTTTTGTTGTTCACTGGGGTAAATTGTTCTAGTTTTCATATATATATATATATATATATATATATATATATATATATATATATATATATATATATATATATATATTCATGAATTATTCATACAAAAACAAATACAAAGGTTAATGATTTAATTGGCGAGAAATCCATCGTCGCGAACAATTCAAATAATATACAAAAAACCCGAACCTGTTATGAATGAAAAGATCCTTGTTTTTATAAATTTTTGTTGCATTAGTTCTTATTTTTACTACAAGCTTTCGTCTGTTCCTACAGACATCTTCAGGTATGGAATAGATGTTGTTCTTGTTTTTTCTCTCAGTAATATATATATATATGTTCGAATCTCACCATGGTCGATTTACATCGGACTGGAGCGGGTGATACCAGCGTGCTGCACCTGTGTAAAGTGCGTGAAAACCGTACCATGGGTTGACCCAAGCCTTGTGATTTAGATTGGGTAGACGGAAGCCTTGGGGGCTGTCGATAGCTGTGCTAGCCCGAAGTCACAAGTCATCGTGGCTGATGGCTTGAGCGTGTGACGGTTACACACCTGGCCCAGGGTCGAATCCCTTGGTTACGGCGCCAACTGTGACGTCGTTCCTCCTGGTCGCTCCTCCTGGTTCCAAGCGTGCCGCTCCAACCCCTTGGTTGGATGATCACCAGCCTCGCCTTTCCCAACTCGCTTCCAATACCTGGTTACTGAAGCAACTGTACTGATCTCCGGTCTGTCTACCCACGCTGTGTTTAGATCTTAGACAGACGGGACCAGCAGGGATTGGGGCCGATACAAGTTGAGTCCGACGGGGGTGGCAAAACACAAGTAAAAGAAAAAAAAACTCACGAGACAAAAATTACTGATAAAAAAGGGTGACAACCTTTTATATCTAATGTCCGTTACATAAAGAAAAATTGTTCTTATTTCCCGACCAGCTTTGTGGACTATGGCACCAAGCCTCTATCATACAACTTAAAGATTTCGAGTTGTCTACTCTTCAGAATTATGTATGTCGGAGTGTGGTCTAGTTCGACACTGGGGCTAATTTCTATCGATCATTCGCAATTGATTCTTCTCTTCGACTT